CCTGCTGAATTCTATTTCATGGAGAGCCTGGGACAGTCACCCTTCAAAGCCATCGTGACCTGAGCCTCCTGCAGGTGCTGAATCCCACACTCTTGCTGGGTTTCAGAGCACAGTGACTGTCAGGGCCAATGATTAACTCCTTAGGAGAGGTTTCAACTCCAACTTGCACTTCTGGAAGGACGTATTGACACTGACTGATGGAACCTTGTCTTTGATTACCAGGAAGCTCTGCCTTGGCAAAAGTCACACTCAAACCAGAATCAGAAACACTTTCCATTACAGCACAGACCTCAAGAGACAAGGAAAAAAGCCCAACAATATAGTTAAATCTCTAGGTTTTTACACAGAAGCGAATTAGGGCACAAAAGGAAGTCTGTAGCCTTCATTTCCATTCCAAATTTCTTGAAAGATATCTCTGCCATCACTCCTATTTGTAAATGGTTCATTTTCAAATGACAACACAATCCAGACGGGACTCAGCACCCTCGCTCTGGATGTTGGAACTTGGGCAACCCTCACACCTCTGCCTCATTTTTGTAATAAAGGGTGTTAATGACACAGATCCTGCCTGGATTAAAAACCTGTGGAAACTGCAGGAGCTCGGCAGGAAGCTTTGTGCTGGAAACTTTTCCAAAGCAGCCTTTATTTTTTAATAAGCACATCTGTGTCACAAAGCCCCCGACAGTGGCTCGAACCCACACGGATCAAGGTGCAGCTCAGGGTATGCAAGAGCTGGGCATGCAAATATTTGTCTGTGCTGTGACAGCCCGCGCAGCTGCCTGCAGACAGCTTAGGAATGCACACAAAACCCAAGTGCCTGTGTGGTTTTCTATGTATCGAGCTGCAGAGTGAGAAATTTTACATATTCTAAATGCCTGCACACAGCTGGTTGTGGCAGAGCTCTGCCAAGGCCCTGGTGACAGCTGTGCTGGCCAGGCTGCCACAGCCACTGCAGGCAAAGGCAGAAAACTCCAGGAGGAATTCTCAAGACAGGCTGGGAAGATAAGCCCTTTAAATGAACTAATCTGCAGGGAGTTGCAGCGAGTTCACATTAGTCATCTGGGTGTGGATGTCAATGTCTGGCCAAGGCGATAAGTGGATCCCCCCTCCCACACACAGGGTGTTATTCAGACATCACCTGATCTTCCCTGGTGACTACAAAGCCACAGGAATCGGGGGCCTTTGTTCCTGGGAAACACGGGAGGCACTGGGCTGCCAGCTCTGCAGCACCATCAGCATCCTTCCCACATAAACACCCCTCGCAGGACATGGATCCATCCTGATGTCCCACTGCCTGCAGTGCCCATCTGGAGGGATGAAGCCAGGTGGGAAGTTCAGTCAGGAGAGCTTTATAAACACTGGGAATTAAAGAGCATCTCTGCTACCAAGAGATGTTTTCTCACATCCTGCAGCACTGCCTGTGCTATTAAATCCATATTAGGAGGTGGCTCGAGGATGCATTTCAAAGGGGAGCTGCTCCATGCCAAGCTGCTGAAACCCATTTGCCATCTCCTGACATGCACGAGGTTCCAGGGAAGGGAACTGCAGGGCAGGGATGAGTCAGGGCAGCAGCTCGGGTGTGACCACACGCTCAGCTTCCCCAGCAGCCCCATTCCTCCCTGCACTGCTCCAGTGACTCCCAGCAAAGATTCCTAAGATATCCCGAGTTTTACACAGTCTATCACAGCAGGCACATGCTCACCTTGCTGATGAAAGGGAATATTATCCCTGTTTACGGGGGGAAAAGCTGGCAGTGAATTCCAGCCTCTGATCACAGCCTGGACATGCAGCTACAAGCCCAGGGCAGCCCAGCCCACACACACGGGACCAAAGCAAACCATCCTGAGCTCACAGACCCACCAACACACCCACCCTGGCACCAGAACATCCTGGCACTGGGAGCTCCGGGGCTGCAAGGTCACAGCCACACATCAGCACTGTCAGTGCAGTGCATCAGATTCTGTTTTACACAATCCCAGAACCCCAGAATGGTTTGGGTTGGAAGGGACCTTAAAGCACATCCAGTCCCACCTCCTGCCACGGGCAGGGACACTTTCCACTAGCCCAGGTTGCTCAGGTCAGATCACTGCTTTTTTTTTTTCTAGTTTTGATTTTTTGGTCAGTCTTGCAGTGCTCAAAATGCTTCTGAAGATTCAACTCTGTTTTTAAGTGTACCTGTTGACTTCTTTCCACATGCTGTGTTTTAACTTAATGAGCTTCTGTCCATGAAGAAATAAAAAATTCATTAAAGAATTGTAGTTAATCATTGATTTTCAAGGCTACAATTTCTTTTCATGTGTGGTCAGGCTCCTGCAGGGTGCAGGGTGAACACTATGGGCATGATCCAGCTCTGCCATATCCATCCAGTACAGTGGGAATCCTCCAAACTGCCTTTCTACACACATTATTTTTAGTCAAGAAAACATCAAAATTCAAGATCACTCAAAGCTCCTGAATATTCACTAACCTCCATAAATGAAGTTGTCCAGGATTCTTCTGATACCACAATGCTTAAAATATTTTTAAAGCCCTGTACAAGCAGCACTGGATGCAACTCACAAACTGATGGTGGATATAATTTTAGTCTCCTAAATTCTTCATTTTTTTTACTCTTCTGTGGTGTTGGAACAACCCACAAATACTAAATGGTAATGGGAATTTTTTAAATTCTATTTTTAATTTTTTTTCTTTCAATTGTTAAAGGGCATAAATCCAAGAGTTTTCTCCAGATATTTTGTTGGGAGTTGGAGCACAGGTGAAACACTTGAGGTGTGTTGTGCCATCACAGGATATGATCTGGGCATGTGATGTTTCCTACCCTCAACTCCTAAAAATGGGCATAAAGTGCAGCTGAGCAATGGTCCCACCTGACAGCCCATGGCAAAGCCATGCCCCATCTTTGTCATTATCCAAGATGTTACAGTGCCACCTTCAGTCTGAAATACGGGAAGAAAATCCCTTTAAAACCCAGCCATGCCCTAAGGAGGCTTTCCAAGAGAATCTGGTGGTTGGGGACATGACCCAACCACAGGTTCCCATTGGATCCCATCACTTCCACAGGTTAACCTCAACCTTGGGAATCACGCACATATTTAAGGCTTTTCCTTGGCCTGTCCTTCTGGATTCATGGGACTTTGCCCAGAGAGGCTGAGGTTGTGGATTCCCCATCCCTGGGAGTGTCCAAGGCCAGGTTGGACAGGGCTCGGAGCAACCTGGGCTAGTGGAAGGTGTCCCTGCCCATGGCAGGGGGTGGAATTGGATGATCCTGAGGGTCCCTTCCAACCCAAACCATTCTGGGATTCTATGAAGACAGAAGGCTTGAGTACCATATGGACCAGGCCCCAAGCCACCCCTAAATACATCTTAAACAGAAGAAAACATTTCTGACTCTTACAGAAGGATTTGAAACAGGTCTGGTAAAGAAACACATTCATTATGTTTTACACCCAGATTTTCTAGGGCAGAAAAGGATGTTTTTAATGTTAAAGGATAATGGAAAGAAATTGCTCCCAATTTGCAGAATAAGATTTGCTAAATCACTCCTAAGGAATGCTGAGAACTCTGGAGTCAGGACACAGCTCCCTGAGCCCTGGACACGCCGGGGCTGTGTCGTGACCGACCACTGAGGTGCAAACCAAATTCCCTTCCTATTCCACACCCCCCCCATTCAGCAGCACCTGGGGAGACCCTGCTGTCAGTTCTCCACTGAAAACTGGCTCATGAAACGCAAAAAACCCACCAGCTACAGACACACTCCAAACCTCCACCTAGAGCACATGGTTACATCAAACTGCATCTGCATGAGACACTTGGGCTATGCATAATTTATCCCTATTCCCATCCACACAGTAATTAGCCCTTGCTGACACTTAATGAATGGGAACTCTGATAAAAGTTCTCCAGTTTTTGTGTTTCATGCAAACATATTCAATGACTAATTTTTGGCTCTTATCTAATTTGAACTGTATCTGAAGTAATCTGAAATAATAAATTGGTAGTTAATTGAAACTTTTTTTAAAACTAGTTTTAACAGCAGCAAAAACCACAACACCAAATTGTCTTTTCTAAGCAAAAAACCACAACACAAAATTTTTTTTCTAAGCAAAAACACTTCAGAAGTGCAGTGCTTCCCCCTTGAAGTCATGCATGCTGTGGGGGGATAAAGAAAGGGAGCAATATAATCAGCCAGGCTGGAAGGCAGCAGTGATGCACTTGGTTATCTCACTGTGCTAATCCTCTATCAGGTGACTGCTCACAAGATTTCTTTAAGCCCTCATTACTGAGGCAGGAATCCAGAACTAGGACGGACACTTTGGTGACCCCAAAATAACGTGTTTGACCTGCCCGAGGTCTCGGGGGATTTACAGCCCGGCCGGGACACGACGGGTCGCCCACTCAAAGCCTGCTGGGACCTCTGGTAGGAGAGCTAAAGGCAAGTCAGAAAAGTGTTCTGCTCTTAAAAAAATCACTACTTGAAATGCTATAACTCAAACAGCTTTTGCTCCCCAGCCAAAAGACACACAAATTAGTGATTGGGGTTTCGGATCTAATTCCACGAGCTCTGAACCCGCAGCTTGGCAGAGACAAGGCTTTTAATTCTCTCATTAAAAGCTCTTCCAATTGTGTAAATATTAACTGTAGTTCTTTCCAATAATAAGCTCAAATCATATGACAATAAATCCTACAAGTCAGTTGGAGGTATTTAAACCAGCATAGGTTATAACCTGTTTGTTGTGCTTCAGACACTTCCATCAGGCTGAAAATACTCTCCCTAAATGTGGATTTAAGACAGAACAGCTTCTCTTCACCCAATTTAAAACCAGGGAGGCTACCTGGCTGTCACCACTCACTGTCACCTGCTCCAGCACACACAGACTGTTTTGGAGGTTGGGAAGTCACAGGTACAGTGACAAAATAAATCCAACACAGAGCAGTACACCTACCAAATATTCCAGCAGATCGGGCTAATCTATTAAAAACCAGCAAAACTCCAAACTCACCTTGATCATTTCTGCCACGTAACTCTCTGGTCCTGTGTATTCTGTGGAATCTTTGACTTTCACTAACACAATAAAGCACAGATAGTGCCACATGTTGTGCTCCTCTTTGATGTGCTCTTCAAACGTGACTGTCTTGTTGTCAAACTTATCTCTCTCCAAACCTACGAGAGGGACACACGTACAACCCTCAGTGTTGCCCAGCTGGGGACCAGCAAAAGGAGCTCTAAAGGACAAAGCTCATTTCTACAGGCTGCTACACTTGTTAAAGTCACAACCATTCTGGAATGGACACTGAATAACAGGGATAAACTCTGACAGATGCCCAGGAAGAGAAGAGGGGAAGGAGAAGAGAAAGGGAAGGAGAAGAGAAAGGGAAGGAGAAGAGAAAGGGAAGGAGAAGAGAAAGGGAAGGAGAAAGAAGGTATAACAAGTAATGCTCATATTTATTATATGTAACAGAAAAATGTTGGTTAAAAAAGGTAGCAGCCCTGTATGCAACCACTTTGTGGTTTTGATAACACATCTCCTATTTTTAGGCAAACTGAGCAAAAGCAATGTTTGCTTTGCAGCATCTTCCCAAGGTTCCCCCTTGCCAGCTGTGTGTTATGCAACATGGCAGGACCATGTCAGTCAACCACAGCACCTTCATTCCAAATCTCCTGACGGGAAAAACTTTCACAGGCACCACTCAAATCAACCCTGTTCCAATAGGAAACTATTCTTTGAGGCAGAGGAGGAACAGAAAGTAAAGATTTGAGGAAAAATGGTATCCTGAGCATTCCTTATCTCTTTCTGCTGCCAAGCTCCAGTGCATGTGGTACCCAAGGACTGGCTGGGAAATGCAAAGAGGAACAGCCAGTAATTCCAGACTTTTTTCCTGTGAGTTTGCAGCTATCCCTGACTCACACAGAGTAACCCCTTATTCTTAAGTGTGTCTCCACACTTACCACAAATAAAGCAAGTAGTTTTTAAAATTTCTTCCTTCTTCTGTTTTTCACTCCTTAAATCAGCAAAAGTGTCAATGATCACCCCAAAAATCAGGTTGAGGACAATAATGATGACCATGAAGAAGAACAAGAGATCATATATCACTCTAGCAGCAAAGAGAGGTTCCTGCAAGACAGAAACTTTAATTATTACCAACTCAAATAGGTGCCCACCTAACCCCTACCACTGCACTGCCCCACACCCCCTCCCCTCAGAGGCTCCATTGCTGATGCTCTCCAAGGGTAACTCACAAACCATTAAGTGAGACTAAAATGCAAAACCACTAAAGAAAAACCAAATTAATCAACTACCAGTGTGGGATCTCTACAGAGCTGCTCTTCCTGTGTCCAAGTTTTTGGACTGCTCTCATTTTCACAAGAGGAAAAACTCTTCTCACACATGGAAATTTGTTCTCACCCCTCCCTGAAGCCCATCCAAATTATATCCTTATATTACCTGCTGTATATCAACAGAGCATCAGTGTGGACCATAATGTATTTTACTGGAATTTAACACCATTCACTGAATTTGCTCAGTCCCTTGTCCTCTCATCCATTCCATTTGACACATGACCTTTCCCTAGGGATGCTCCCACAGAAACCCGTGCCACTGGCATCCAGCAGCTACCACAGCATTTCCATCTGCGGCCTCTCACAAGCTTCTACCTATTCCTTCAGCTCCTGAACTCCCAAAGCACAGACTGTTGGCTGCCCCATTTCTGGTTTTTTTGGGCCCGGCTCTGGACAGCTCACAAGCTAAAGAATCCCTAAAATAGAATGGGTAGAAGCTTGTATGAACTGGCTGCTGTTCCATCTGATCCCACGGAGGTGTAACCACGTTACAAAGACGAGCGTGGTCCCTCCTCGTCGCTGTTCCTACATGTGTTTCAAGGCAGTGTACACACATTTTCCCCAGCAGAAGATCCCAGCCCTACATGGTTATCACTCTTCCACCCCCAGCCAGTGCTAATTTACCTCTTTGGAAGGTTTCCTGAGCACATCACCTACTCCACCCCCGCTCCTGAGCCCGTGACTCAGTACAGTAACAATGCACATCAGCAGTGTCTCGCACGTATGCTCCTTGTTCTCTTCCTCCATTTCTTCAGTGAGCACTTCTGTGAGCACAGCAAGCAAAGACACGTTGCAAAGCCCAGATTAGCTCTAAATCATTCTCTCCATTCTTTGCTGGGTATGCTCTCTACCCCCTCAGACTGCCAGCCCCTGTTGCAAACCCCTGTGGTTCCCCCAGAGCATCCCAGAACGGGTGGGGTTGGAAGGGACCTCTGGAGATCATCAGTGCCACCCCCTGCCAAGGCAGGACCACCTGGAGCAGGTGACACAGGTGGGTTTGGAATGTCTCCAGAGGGGGAGACTCCTCAACCTCCCTGGGCAGCTGTTGCAGTGCTCTCCACCCTCCATGGACAGAAGTTCTTCCTTAGGTTGAGGTGGAACTTCTCGTGCTGAAGTTCATGGCCATTGCTCCTTGTCCTGTCACTGGGCACCACAGAAAAGAGTCTGGAGCCATCCTCCTGATACCCCTTGGGGACATTTATATGGGTAGATGAGATCCCCTCTAAGTCTTGTCTAGACTGAACAGGCCCTAAACAGTCTCTCCTCATTAGAGATGCTCCAGACTCCTCATCATCTTTGTGGCCTCTGCTAGACCCTCTCCAGAGCCACCATGGGAGCACATCTCATCCCTGCCCTCCTCTCCCCACCACTAGTTTTCTTTTGTGCTTGAACTGCTGCCTGTGACTTGGTTAAATCTCTCTTCCCATCCCTGTTCTCATGCACAGCTCAGATCACCAGATGCCTGTTTATACAGAATCCAAGCTTTTTGACAGCTCAGAGGACAAAGTGTTGCCTCTTCCACTCTCCCTTGGTGCCTGACAGATTGCACAGCCTTTGGGCTGCACTCAAAATGGCAACTTCCACTCAGAGCTTTCAAATGGCTAAAATATCACTGCTTGTGGAAACAGCATTTTGCTAGAAAAGCAACACACTTTTTTTGACCTTCTCTTCACTTGGCTGAAGGCTCCATCTTCACAGTTTCACTTGCAGAACTGCTAGAATTAAAATTCCCCAACCTCATATACTCTCCCTGTACCCATTAAAAGCCTCATGACCTTCATTTCATCACAGAAATGCTCAGGAGCAGATCCCACCTTCTCACAGCCAGCCTTGGAAAGGCCCAAACCCCTGTGCAATCCTGGAAGAGCCAAAACCCAAGAGCAGTGGCCAAAGATGGGGCATCATGAACATCCCTGGCCACACAAGACTCTGGTACCAGGTTGATTATTTGTGATATAAAAACATCTCTGGAGCTTTCCTTCCTGCAGCCAGAGTATAGGAGATGAATAAAGCAGCTTTTCTTGTATCCAGGCTGAATTTTAGTTTCTCAAAGAGGACAGTGGAGCAAAGCAGAGCCCTCTCCTCCTGTGAGCAGGGGCTCGTGGCCATGGCTGACCTTCGATGGCCATGCAGGAGCTCCACTTCTGACAGAAACAGCTGTGCCCTGTCTGCCCCTCCCAGCCAGCACTGCAAATCTCCAACAAGGAAATAACATTTTCTAGGAAATAAAACTGAAATATTTCAATACCCAAGCAATATCTCACTTTTTTGATCTCCAAACCCCCCAAACCTATCCTGTCTACTTAATCCATTGAGTACTTCCTGATACGACATTAAAAACAGTTTCCTTAGTTTGCCAGATAGAATAATGCTGCCAATAAACCATATTTCACAGGGCATTATCCTCTGAGATCACATTTAATAGCCTAATGTTTTAAAATAATAAACTTTGCAAAGAGGCAAACTGCATCGCTTCCTTCTCCAATTGATGGAGAAAATTAAAGAGTATGGCAGTTTGTTTTATAAGTCTGGTTTGCTCCTAAGTTTCTCTGGTTTAATCACTTCATGTAACAAATGTTATTTATGCTGTTGGCCTAAATTAATGATATTTCAAGTTCGTCTCATGATAGCTTTGTTTCCAAATTTATTACATAGGATTTTGTAAATAATTTTTTTTTTTTTTAAATTGAAGGTGTTTAACTGGAAAAAAAAGTGAAAATTCAGGGTTTGAGTTAGGAATTCCAGAGTGGACACTCACGGTCTGAAGGAATGATGGAAGAGCAGTTTTCACTGCTCCCTGCTTTGCAGACATCTGAATAGAGGAACTCGCCAGTCATGGTCTCACCTGGCTCTGTGCGATCTAAAACCAGAAAATGGGCAATCAAATGGGTGGTTTGACATCTTGACTTCTCAGATACCAAGGTACCTCTTCATATTCAGTGTGTAATTACGAGGCATTTAGAGCAGTGTATTGTCCTTGAGTTTAGAAGGGCACAGGACTTTGATTTACGCATTCAATGCTTTTAAATTCAACCATAAAAGCATTTTTATTTCACAGAATCCCAGAATCACTGAGGTTGGAAAAGACCTCCAAGATCACCGAGCCCACCCTCTGCCTGATCCCCACCTTGTCCCCAGCCCAGAGCACTCAGTGCCACGGCCAGGCCTTCCTTGGGCACCTCCAGGGGTGGGGACTCCAAACCTCCCTGGGCAGCCCCTGCCAGTGCCTGACCACCCTTTCCAGGAAGAAATTCCTCCTGATGTCCAACCTGACCCTCCCCTGGCACAGCTGGAGGCCATTTCCCCTTGTCCCGTCAATGCCCCGGGAACAACAGCCTGTTACTTTCTCCAACATAACCCATGGAGACGAGCCACTGGCACTGACCTGGCAGCAAGGTTTCGTTAGGGAGCTTGTCCACTTCCAGGATGAAGTCATCTTTGAAGAAGAGGTACCCCACGATGGAGAACAGGTAGACCAGGATGAGGGCCAGCACGGCAGTGAGGATGATGGAGCGCCCGTTGCGGGTGACGCTCTTGATGACGTTGAGCAAAGTCTCTTCCCGGTACACCAGGTCAAAGAGCTGGGGGCAACCAACAACAGCACAGGTAGCACCAACACCACTGCTGGCACCATGTGTTGGCATTTCTTGTGCTGTGTGCACTTTGAAAAACGAGGGGTGGAGGCAGCTGTGCCTCCTCTTCATCAGCACTGCGTGGGCTCCAGGCCTGAGCAGCAGCTTGGGAAGAAGCCCCTGCCTGCTGAGGGCAGGTGTTTCTGCTTCAGTGCTAAACACACAAAGCTGCCAACACAGGCTGTTATTACCTTTTTTATAGATACCTGCCTCATCACAGTCTCAAAACAGCTCACTTCAAACTGCCATTAGTTTTAGTTTATTGAACGTATAATTGCATAATATCTTTCCCCCAAATTCTGTATTTAAATTTCTCTGCTGACATGTCCTTAATTTTTCACTGCTCTGGGTCGGGGACAACTCACTGCAGAGCCCAGGCAGGTTGTGGCTAAGCTGGTTGACAATGACAGAACAGGTATTTGTTAAATTAAACATGAACACAGAAAATACCCAGTTCAGGTACCAGAGGATGTGGCAAACATCCAACAAAGAGCCAAAAATAGCATGTTCTGAATGGGATTTAAGGTTTGCCTCAACAATGACACATTTTCTCCACCAGCACTAGATCTACTCCTTCAGTGCTTATTCTTAGCAGCATTGTGCTGTGCAGGATGAATTCCACCCCAAACAGGAGAAACCTCTGCCAGGATCCCTGTCCGTAGTGTCAGGGCTGGAGGCTGGATACAACCTAAGTTATCCAGCTGCTCAAAAAGCAGGGATGCTGCTACAGTTATTGCTAATAACACAGTAAAGCATCTTAAAGACTCTGTGTCTCTTCCTCATAGCATGGTAACTTCAAGAGTGCCTCCTGTTCCACCAACATTTCTATTTTCCTCTTGAGAAGAACGAAAAGGTCTTTGTTTGCCAGTACAAATCACAGAATGGTTGGGCTGGAAGGGACCTCAAAGCCCATCCAGTCCCACCCCCTGCCATGGGCAGGGACACCTTCCACTAACCCAGGTTGCTCCAAGCCC